GGGGGGGGTGCCAAGGATCTCACTCAGCTGATGCCTGAACAGACAAGCCACCACTGATTTCATGAGCTGCAGAAGAGGATTTTTGATTACAGTAAGTATCAATAAAAAGTCAATGGGACTCTGAGACATCGTTTCTCTCTCGAGAGCTTTCGCTTTCTCTTTTTTTCTTCTCTTTTTTTCCCCCTTTTCTTTTTTTTCTTTTTTTTTTTTAGCAAAAATATCATGCAGTCTTTAGTTCCAAAAACCCCCTGGTGGGATCTCGTGTTTGTTTTGTTCGTTTCAGCAGGAAAAAGAAACTCAAAGCCTCCAAATTCTTCTTTCACAATTATTCTTAAACATTCAAGTCATCCTATTAATACTTTGTACAGCAGAAAGGTCTTTCGGATTTCACATGTGTATATATAAATATAATATATAGAAATATGCATATACATATGTTCAACTCGTATATGTGTATACATATTTTGGAACTGTATCAAAGCCAATTTAATGTGCTCTCAAAATATGGCCCATGATTCCTTGTGGGATGCACATCATTTCACATAGTATAACCAGTAGATAAGGTTGAAAAATCCAAAGGTGATAGGGAAAATGACCCGGGACCACTTGTCAATGGTGCTAACATCTGACAGGTTGGGGATTTTCAACTTGAGCTTGGAGGAGCGTCGTCTTAGCCGACAGTTGGCCCGGCTCCGCATGGCACTCCGATCCAGCGAGTGGTGGCTGAAGCCATCTCGGGGGGCCATGGGCTTCCTGAATTGGACCCCGGAGCTGTCAAAGGACATGACCGAATTCCGAGAGTCACTGACGCTGCTCCCCACGTCAGAAGGCATCACTTCGTTATTCATCTCCAGCGTGGTGAGGAGGATGTTTCCATAAGCATCCACCTGTGCAAAGCGGCGAAAGACACAAAGATTCAGCGAGGGCTGAAATGCCAAGGAGCAGCCCCATTAATCCCATTAAAACTGATACTTATGTTAAACCCCCCCTCCCATCCCACAAGCTGTCAAGCTTAAGCAAAATGCAGGGATGATATGGAATGTCATTTCTCGCATGCAACAGAAATAGTTAACAAGACTTTCTTTATATATTACTGCTATTATTATTTTCTTTCTTTTTTTTTTTAACACAAGTTACTTTATCGTGAGGTCTGGCCTACAGCTGATATGATTGCTAAATAAATGTACCCCAACTTTTCTTTGTTCCTCGAGATACAGATTTCTTCGCTGTGTAAATGACCTGAAGGTGTTGGTTTGAAACGGCACGGAAATGGAGTCCTTGCAATGTGAAAGAAAAATGAAGAGAACATTAAACGGCTATAAAAATACTGGCAAATAAGCACATTTTCTCAGAAATTACACAAGGCATAAGACATAGAGTTAACAGGAACAACTTTTGAATAAGCATAGCATTTTTAGTACCTCACACACAGGAAAACAGGAAAGGGGGGGGGGGGCTTTTTTCACTCCATTTTAGCATCTGTCATTGGCAAATTGCATAAGTGCTGATGCTTCCTTATCTTGCGTTTTGATGTTTATCCAATTTTTCTTTTTTTCATTTTGCAGGAAAACGAGCGCTGAAATATAAGGCCGGCCGAGTGAGAGTGAATAAAGCCTACAGCATAAACATAGACAACAACCTAAATAAGAAATGGGAATGTTTACACCACTGTTGAGTTAGATGAATAGGTATCTCAATGAAAAAGGCTATGTTCGATAAAAAGCAGTCAGTGCTTGAGGGAGAAGCAATGGATGATGGTCGGTGAATGCATATTAGGCTGTGGTGGCATCAGTATGCTTGTGGAAGATTACTTCAGGGACTAGTGTATGCATATGTGTCTTTGGATAAAATGGCTGTGGCTCGAAATCTTATGTGCAGAACATCGTTGTTTTGTACTTGAACTCTGACTGACACAGAGAGGTGGAGTACAAAAAAAGGGGGGGAAAGAGAGAGAGAGAAAGAGGCGGCAGATGAAGATGCAAACCTGTTCCCTCAGGCGCTTCTCTTCGTATCTTGTGCGCTCATTGTTGGCTTTGTTCAGCCTCTCGCTGAGTTTCTTCTGTTGCGCGGGGCCCCGACCAAAGAACACGTAATTTACAAAGGCATATTCAAGCAGGGCCAGGAACACAAACACAAAACAGCCCATGAGGTAGACGTCGATGGCTTTCACATATGGAATCTTTGGGAGAGTCTCCCTAAGGTGGGTGTTAATAGTGGTCATGGTAAGCACCGTTGTCACACCTGAGTACAGCAGCACACACACAGAAAAGAAACGCAGAGACCGTCAGATACTGCACATGTACACACTTTTACTCCAAACTGTACTTGTGTATCGTTACTTACTGCGTGGTGATAGAAGTGGTGAAAGGAGTGCACAATTTACTTTTATTTAGACAAAAATGTCATTCCAGTGTTCTTTTCTCCCTTTTAATCTTGCATTGCTTTGCTAATATAGTGGTAACTCAGTAATATTTGCCTTTAACGCGTGTTAGAGGAGATGAGGAGAAAAGTGGGATTATTATGTAAATGTAATCGGATACATATTTTTACTAGAGTTCATTGATTGGCTCCAAAGTAGGAGTTACAGTTCGCCGCTTTCACAGGGCCTCTGTCACTAACACAGAGAGACAGCCAACCATTCACATCTACCTCCAATTTACAATCACCAGTGAACCTAACATAAGCCTGTCTTTGGACTGCCAGAGAAAGACCATGAAAACATCCCCACGCAGAAGGGCCCAGCTGGGGGGTGGATTTGAACAGAGGACGCTGCACCATCACTATGCCACCGTGCCACCCTGATCACATCTTAGTCTAACTATCATAGCGTTAGTCACTTTGATGCGGTTTATTCAATTATCATGGCAGACAATGCTCTGAGAATACTTGAGAAATTGGATAAGTGTCATGAAAGTTACCAATTTTGGTAGTTAGCTGGGCCTTGTGTCATTACTAATTATTTGCAATAAAAATATTATATTTAAAATAAAGATTTTTTTTTAATACTGTCCCACTGAAATAGTTGTGTTATTCTGTTTTTGGACTAATTTCTGGGAACAAAAGAAATTCCACATGACCGCAAAGTCCTATTGAAAATAGCTGACGCTGTGACCTTTAGGTGTGCGTTTGTTGTAATTATCTATCAGTCATTTGCCTGTATATGCTTCAGAGTTACACAGGAACAAGTAACACTGCACGACAGCCACATGTTGTTCCTTCCTGTGATAATAAATATATTCTAGCAGAGATAGTTATGAGTTTAATAATGCAGCAGTGGCTGCGGCTTACCCAGGGCCACCCGAGCTGCAGAGGCATCGTAATTGATCCAGAAGGAGACCCAGGAGAGGATGGTGATCAAGATAGAGGGCATATATGTCTGCAAGATGAAATATCCAATGTTCCTCTTAATCCTAAAACTCAGTGAAAGCCTTGGATATGCACCTGTAAGGAGAGAGGATGGAGGATGGGTGATTTTGGAGCAGGAGAAGAGTGAAAACACATTAGTAAAAAAAAAGAAAAAGAAAGAAAGGAAAAAAGAAGGGAGAAACCATGGCACAATTTAAGTGTTCCAAACTCTGCACTTTGACAACACGCAGGGTAGTCATTTCTCCATTTGTTCAGATGGAGCACTTAATTTCCCCAAAGCGATGGATTCCTTTCCAGGGACAAGTTCGATTCCAATTAAACATGGCAGAAAGTCGCAAACGAGGCAGATTTTTCTGCAACCCCTATCTCAGCAGGCAGCTCCAGCATCCCTCTGAGAATTGTCACAGTGAGCTGCTCTGCTTTTCTTTTGCACTTTCTCTGTCCTCTAAACATTAACAAACGGCCATTTTTAAAGGTGGATAATTGCAGTGCATGCCTATACGCTGAGAGGAAGAAAAATGTGTGCCGTAAGTCATTTATTGCAGAATCTTACCAGAAAATGTTTTCTAGGAAAACTATCAGCCAATGTAAACACTGATGGATGGTTTCTCTGCTGTCTAGACAAGATATTTTTAAAAAATATATGTAAATAAAACTAGAATACAATGATGTACAAAAGATTTTGAGCACAATATTTAATTGGAAATCGTGCAAGGGCATGTTTATGTCTAACAGAATTTCATTTTGAGTGTGAAACTGTCAGCAAAAGTTGCGACAGGGGCACTGTGTTACATCTCGTCATTTTTTACACAAAAAGATGAGCATTTGGGAACTGAACAGGTGAATGTGTTATCCCGTGTCGGTTTTTACCTTTTTACTCTGGATGCTATAACTCCAAGAGGATTTGGTTGGACATTATGTTGCTGAAAGAACTTTCGGCAAAAAGTGCTGCTCTAAAATCTTCATGAATTTTATTGAGTATTAATGGGAGCTTCCGTGCCATTGCACTAATGCACCACCACACAATAGAAACTGTAGTTGTTGGCTTTGGACCAATGTGTTACCTGACTTACCACCTTTAAGTCACTGATCTGTCATCTTGTCATCTCACCAAAGGACAATTTTCCACTTTTTTTGTTCTTTGCATGATTTTCACTTGTATTGTATTGTCGATGTAGCAACCTCGAATCACCTGTAAATCTTTTAACGGACTGGTACATTTGCATAAATGCTTTATCAAATGTGATAAATACATGCCAGATAAAGAGCAGCAACAAATATTATTGGAAGTCGTCAAACTCAATGAATTATTAATCATACATTCGACTATTTCCTCTGTTTACCCTTGTCTGGTCGCTTAAGGGAAGTTGGAATCAGTTGAAACACAACTAAAAGGACATTTATGTTACACGTCTAAGGTCGCTTCTACATCTTTGCTTGTTGAAAGTCCGATGAGAAGATTAATAATCCGTACGCTGAATACGAAGCACAGAGAGAGTGAAGTGTTAGGTTAACATAAATACTGCAAATAAGGATAATGAGCTAGCATGCCTGTATTCAGAGGGGAAAAAGCTCACCTACTAATAAAGCTATTTATCTCTCTCAAGCGCTCTAATTAACACATCTCATCCCCGGAGTCACTGACGTTTGCCGAGCAAACTGACAAGATTGCAAGGAGGCACTGCCACGGGCCAAGAAGTATACAGTATAAGGCAATATAAAAGCTGCTGCTTTTGCACTTTTTGTTTAAAGTAAACAAGATATGTTTTGTTAATTGGTAGTTTAATTCCTGGAAAAAACAGCCTCCCTCTCATCATTGCTCTCCATCTTCATAGCTCACTGTGCACAGCAGTAGTTTTCTTATAGTTATGATTCTTTTAATAGCAATAATGATAAATAAAAGCTAAATCAAGAGTTTTAGAAGTGTTCCATGAGTAATCCTGATGAGACAGTTCTCTATAATCTCTAATTTGTGAGAAACAAAAAGATGTTTGCTGGACCATTTCAGGCTTTCATAACCAGCAGCTCAGTTTCTAAATTTCTGCATTTTTATTGTGATTTATTGTGCTTGTATGCAGCCTCTGTCTAAATAGATGTGAAGCATTCTTACCTGTAGTAAAGATGACCTCCTTGGACACCAATTGGGTGGCCACGATGGAGAACTGAGGTAACTCTAACTTGTCAACGCCTGTAACAGCATTGTCTCCTCCTTCCCAGAAGAATACAATGTCATCTGTGGTATATCCATCTGTGCCAAGGTCGGGGAAAATGAGAAGTCAGGGGAGGGAGGTGTAAATGTGATAAAGAAATCCTCGTTAAAGTCAACCACATTTCTGTATGAAGTCTGATACATGAGTATGGATAATAAGTCAGGGCCTGCACTGCTTTGAAGTCACTGAGAGTTCAGGAACATGGTGTCTTTATATGCCTGTTGACTGCCTTCCTAGATAATAGTTATCTATCTATCTATCTATCTATCTATCTATCTATCTATCTAAGAACATCATATAAACAGAAAAGCATGGTAGTGGTAGTGTGATGGTCTGGGGTTGCTTTGCTACTTCGGGAGCATCAACCAGGATTTCTGCTCGTTACTAGAATGTCCTGAAGTAGAATTCCCTGCCATCAGTTTGTATCCTGAAGCTCATGCATACTGGAGTTATGTAGCAGTCAAAGTCCAGACTTAAATCTAATTGCTTTGGCAAGACCTTAAAAGGACCGGACCGTTCCTGCTAAAAAACTAAACAAAAAACCCTCCAATGTGGCTGAATTAGAACAATTCTTCAAAGAAGAGTGAACCAAAGCTCCGCCACAATGATTTGAAAGACTTATTGCCAGTATTTGCAAATGCTTGACTGCAGTTCTTGCTGCCAAGGGTGGCTCAAAAAAGTGCATGTGGCATTTGTTTTTCACATAGGGACGGGTAGATTCGGATAGCTTTTTCTCCTTAATAAAAGCTATCATCATTTAAAAACTGTATTTTGGGTTAAGTTTGTCTAATATTAAAATTTGTTTCACGATCTAGAACATTTACATGTAACAAACGTTCATGTTTTTGTTGTAGTTTTTCATTTGGTGTATTTGTTAAGTAAAAGATCAAGTGTAGTCAAGCAGTGGGAGCAGGAAGAACACATTTTTGCTTAAGACTTCAATCTACCAATCCATAATCACATGCTTCACTATCCCATCTCCTGTGAAGATATAGCCCCGTATGCATTAATATCTACATAAATTAACATATACTGTATCATAGGTATGACGCGCCCACATATTCTCAACTGGCAGTGCAATTGAAAGTGACCACAGTTAGATTTATGTCAGTAGGCCAGCATGCATTCACTGCAGAGCCGTTTCTCAGTCTGAGAAGTATTACTCCATTTCACATTCTACTACTCTGTGCTCAGACCTGGACTGCATTCAGTAAGGGACCAGGATTCATTACTATTAAATCTCTCTTTTAGGTTATAGGAAATGCGACATTGTCCATGAAATTGAAGCAAGTGGCTGACTTATAAATCAAACTGATGTTTAATGTGCACCATTCACTAGTGCATAGCTTCCATGACTGTAAATAGCAGAAATGCATGCAAGTCTTTAATTCACAGCCTGTCCATATTTGATTGCTTATTGAAATCCCCGAGGGTAAATGCTAGGCAGTTTTATCTTGAACAACATGAACCACAAAATATCTGGTGTATTGAGCAAGTGGATTTGATTGATGGAACGGTCAATGAAAATGATCAAGCAAATACAATTTTTAATTACACCACAAGCATATTTTTCTCTCGGATAATGATTTATTGAAATTAAAGCATTTGGGGGAAAATAATATGTGAAACAGCTGCCAGCTAATGTTAGGAGTTGTATTTTATAGGAAAGTTTAAAGTGAAGTGCAGACTTTTAGTTTTTATTTCAAGGGCTTTTTTTTTTCAATAACTATTTGGGAATTACAGACACTTTTAAACACAGCCCACTCGTTTTCAGAGGATCAAAATTATGAATTGACACAATTTTAAATATAAGGATTGTTTTCTTTATACTTGGATGAAAATTCTTTGACTGGCTGAAATCTTGTTTGTGGTTCTCTCTGCCTTCAGGTTTGTACTTAGTAACTGAAAAGCATGCACTGTTGGGTTGAGACCAGGAAATTGATAAATATCCCAAACCCTTCCTGGTCTTTTTTGATACTTTGTTGATGTTTGTAGTTTTGCATTGTGCATCTTTTGGCAAATTATGGGTAGAGCATACGCTACTTTGAGTTTATGATTGTTTTTTACTTTGTTTTCTTTGTTAACACAAGTATTGTTTGATGGCTTTGTGTTGTGGTAGTGGTAAGACTGTTTATTAATCGGTGAGCATGGCTAACTTATTAGTCTTTCCCAAAATATCAAACTGCCCCTTTAGGACATACTGAAAAAGGAACATACTACCTTATTCAAAGTATCTGGGTCCAGACTACCTTCTAAATGAATCATTGCTGATAAGCCCTGAATCTGGTGCTAAATGGAACCTAACCAATAACTAATTTCTACCTTCTTGCTACCGATATATTGGTTACATGTCTTATGTACAAATTATTCATTGAAATGTATGATGTGGATGTGATGGGTAGAGTTAGTATATTATTTATTAATGTGGACACTATGTTACACATTGAAAGTTCACTACGGTTTGCAGTATTAATTACTGGCCTTTGCCACTGAATAATCCACGGCTGGCTTGGTCCATCTGTCACACTGATGGCGGACTGTGACTATTAAAACTGGGACTTCAGCTCAGCCAAAACTTAGCCGCAACATTAAAAAGGCAGCAACCGGGAAAAAGATTTTGCCAGTAATAGGGACTATATCTCAACCTCACTTCCTATTCCATCAACTTAAGTGATGTCGTCATCCAAATAGATTCAATTTTCCTCCCTTTTCCTGTAAAGAATGCAGACAGTTCGAGTGTATCGGTGTTTTCCCAGACTACTGAAAGGAACCAAAGAAGTTATCTAATTTTTGTGCGTGTATTTCATTTCAGCTCAGTTTTGCAGTCATTTACGGTCATATTCGTTTCTCTCCTCTGCGTTCTTTGCTGATCTATGCACCCTAAAAACCCTTTTAGATTGATTACTGTCTCTTTTGGAGGTGAGTAATCAATGCACATCATCAAGCACTGCAACTTTTTCTTTTTCTGAAAGCAGTCATGAAGTCATATACGCCGAGGGTTAAACATCAGACAATTGCCATACATGTGCAAAGATGACAAATATCTTTCTACAAAATAAACCAAAATAAAACTTTCTGTATTTGCACCTAATTCAATATAGATTACCTGTATTGTAGTGATTAGCTAGCAAAAAAGTCATGGTTGAACATTAGGGTGGAGCATACTGGGGGCCGTCTGCATTATGCGAAACTCTTGAATCTTTTATGCATCAGTTTATGAAGGAAAATTATTATCAGGCCTGGGGAGTAAAAATATGACAAAAATTCTGATATAAAATAGAGTTAAGCTCCCAGACAAACCATACTGCTTTTAAATAATTATTCTCAGCTTCTCTTCCTCACAGTTTGGGCCACTCTCCTTAAAAGTTGCTTTAGTTAATTGAGGCTGCAACACTGATTCTTTTTCATCCATCCTGCTTGAGATCATTGTCCTGCTACATGGTCCAGTTCCGGACAAGGTTTAGCTGTTAGACAGAGGGCCTCACATTTGATTGTACAATCATTTGATATACAGAAAAGGTCCTGGTCATGTCTCCAAAACAAGCCCAAATCATCACCCTTCCACCACCGTGCCTACATGTTTGTGCTGATATGGTTTTTTGGATTTTTCCAAATGCAGTGCATTCTTGCATACTTTTTCTAATTGTAGTGTCATGAACTTTAACATTTAACATGCTAACTAAGGCCTGTAGGGTCTGAGAAGTAGCTCTTGGGTTTTTTGCTATTTCTCTGAGCATTGCACAGTTTGACTGAGAACAAAAATTTATACTTGTGGCTGTAGGTATGTTTTTTTTTTTTGAAGGGTCTTTTGCATTACTCACAGCTTTCAATTTCCAGGGTGCAGTTCTGTTCATCAAGAGGGTACCTCCTTAAGTCCATCATGCAAGCAGCAGTAGTGGTTATCCTGTGAGACAAAGACAGAATAGAGACATGAAGACCTGGTACAGATGAGACCTGATGAGGGGAGTAGTAAAAAGTCCAACAACATGGGAGACATAGTGCAGTGGGGCAAGGAGTGGTCCTTTACCTGGAAGTTTCAAGTTCTAATCCTGCATGAATCCAAAACTTGCATTAACCTTTTTACGGCACATGTGAAGCTCATGGTCAGGAGATCTGCAGGAAGTAGATTTTCTTTTTTCAAATTCTTCCTTTTCTTGACATTTTTATATTTCTCCTTTAATATAGAGGTCATCATTTGTCATGTTGTACATAATAATGAACCATTAGTATGACGATTCCATAATCAAAATTCCCTTTAAGAGTAATTATTCTGCAGGTCATTGATTTGATGACAGTTTGTCAATACTCTATCTGTCCCTATGGGTCTGAACATACATAGCTTTGTAGGTTCTTTTCTATAAAGGGGAAAATGTGAGACTTCAGTGTGATTTATACATTTGTGATTTTTGAGGTCTGGTGACGTTATTTCGTTTTATGTGGATCACTAACTGCTCAGAGCCTGCATAGGATTTTGTCGATTTATGTTATTTATTGCTTGCTCTGAGATATGCATTTCTGCCAGGTAGCTTTAGAAAAATGTATGCATAGTAGCTTAATGCCAATAAATCAAGGCGCACGGGAAAGCAGCTTTGGCTACAAATTACACATGTGGGGGTCTTTGAGATATTCACCGGTGCAGCAGATTTTAGTTATTACATTTCTGCGGTTTATACCAGCTGGTATGTGTTCATCACACCAGTTCTCATTTGCTTACTGCTGCCCTGTGCAAGTAAAATATATTTACAGTAAATTAACTTTCAGGTCATCGCCTTGTGACAGAAGCAAGCAGCACATTCATGTGAGAGCATGATAGCACCTCACAAAGTTTCAGCTTTTAGAGGATGCAATACTTTCGGGATACACTGAATCATATAAGCCACAGATGCTGCCAGAGTCCATGGTTTTATACTAATATAGCAAGAAAATATACACAACCATCTACCATAACTAGAATTAGAAATACATTAGATAATAAGCTCTTTGTGCTGGAAATATATTGCTTGAACACAGAGTCTGTAAATTGGTCATGGTGGCGTGAACACAGTTCTGCTGGCAGGTAATTGGAAAACAAAATATGTTCTGCTGAAGCTGATTTGGCTATATTTACACCCCAGCATGTGTGGCTACTAAAGCCATGATGGCAAAAGGCACCATGAAGGGTAAAGAAAATTATACATGTACATAAACAAAGTGTGCGACACGTATGTGTTTATTATTCACAATGACATTGTGCTGCATTCTGCTGCACAAGCAGTAAGCTGTTCAATCTGCATGCTGTTCTGCTCTACTGTACCGCACCTCCCTGTTGTCTCACAGCGATCTTCTGCTGAGAGGGTATAGCAAGGCCACTATTGTTACACACTGTGACAAGATAACATCATGCCTAATTACATTAACAGAAAAGGTCCCTTGGCAATCGTGATTCGAGACCAAAAGTTGAAAAAAGTCAAAGTCAACAATAATTACAGTTTAGAATTGCTATATGAGTCCATTTAGTCGGTTTCTCCCTGCATTTGTAATATGAGCACCATGAACACCATGTTAGAGAAAGACCAGGGTTTGGAGTAAACTAGATTTATGCAAACATACAATTGGGATTGAAGTTCATAGATAAAATAAACAGCTGAAAGTGGATAGTGCAGCAGTCCTTCGATATCATGATTACAATAATAAAGACAAGGAAAAAGTAGAACATTCACAGTTAAAAGAAACATTGGCTACCAGTTGGAAACAAACAGAGGTCTCCTGGGTTACATTTGAATGTTTCCTCTTGTGTTTAGCAAACCTGTCCATCCACCCAGACCACCTCTCTACATACCTTTACCTGTGATCACTACAGTCTACTACTACTACTTGCCTATGAGATTGGTTTTTAAAAAAAGGCATCATCATATTAAAAGTTGAGTCCTTTGCAGTTCAGACCGCAGAAAGAACATGGAGACAAAAAAGAAAGATAAATTATCAGAGATCATTTCAAATCATTTGGGGCTTCTGTTATAGATAGTCTACATACTAGCCAGGTTTGGTCTTGGTGCTGAAATTGCACTGAAAACTCAAGGAGTCAACAGAATTTGAGCTAATAGCCTCGTACAAACAGAAAGCAGCCAGTTTCCATTATCAATAATCTTGTCTCTTGCCTATAGATTATTCATCATGAAGTGCAGATATCTGCAGTTTTATGCAATCCCATCAAACACTGTGTTGTTTTTTTACATTGATTAAATGATCAATTTAACATTTTCCTTTACTGCAGTTAAAATTATTAATTAAAATAAATAAGGTTAAAATCATAACTCTCTCTTTTTTTTAATGATTGCACAGCAAACATTAACACATTAACAAAACATCCAAAAAAGAGAGCCACCCCCCCTCTAGAGAAAACTAATACAATGGGTCCTTTTTGATCATAAACAGGAAGACAAATCCTGTCAAGATACTGTTACTATTCTTAAAAGACAATACCCCTGATACAGCAGCACAGCGGAGCAGTGGAATCCAGGCAGCTGCAGAAACAGCAGCTCAGAGTAATGGACAGAAATGAATTCTTTACCCCTCGGCAAAAAAAGAAGAGAAGCCCACAAGAAATGAAATTGACTTTATATGTGACAGTTAACAAGTCAGGAGAGAATCATCATTGAGTAGGCACGAGCTTGGATGGCTCACAGCGAGGGGCTGGGATTTGGAAATGTCAGCAGATGTAGGTCAGCAACTTCCAGTCCCACAAGAGATGGTCAGCAGCCTCAGACCTGTGCATGCACTGCAGTCTGACACTCAGCACTCTCTACGCTCTGGATTTTAAGTTTATATGCAATGCAATTTAGTTGTCTTTGGAGGTAAAAGACGAAAGTGAGGTATGGGGAAGGGAGCCATCTCAATGGGCCGGCCATTGGAATTGGCATCTAACGCCTAAAGAAACCTTTGTGGTCAAAATTCTGTTTTGATGGAACTTTGCAGCTTCTTTTAAGTCACTGCATTGCAAAAATGATTCATGAACAAAAGGGCTGACTAGTATGCAGCCAGTAATATAAAAAATAAATAAATAAAAGGTTCATTCCACTCATTTCAAAGAATTATGCCAACATAACACCACTACTAAAAGCAATCTGGAGGTGGATCCCAGAGGCTCGGCACTACAGACTGGTAGGCTTTCAGATATCTGAGCAAAAGTTGTGACGCCTACTCAGTCTACTCCTGTATCCATCTCTGTGTGGTAGTTTGCTTACCAAAGAAGATCACTGTAGTATCACAATGCTTGGCTTAATAAACAGAGCAACATGAGAGAGCAGATTTACAGAAACGGGAAGAGAGAGAACACAATCTGGCGAGAGCTTAGCTCAACAAAGCCCTCAATGCTCATATTGGCTCGTTGGTTTGCTGGTGATGATTCAGCCTCTGAACCCATTGGCAAGTTAGAAAAACCTGCTCAACAGTTTTTTACTGAATACATCTTCTTTTAGTGATGTTGGAAGTGACTTTGCGTGCAACACCCTGATGTTCCCATGCATCTTTTGCGGTTTGTTATACGTAATAAAGCACAAGGTTCAAATCTATCTGTAGAATTACCTGGTACAACCGAAAACAAAGAGCTTAAAGAACCAAAATGTTGCAATGATGGAATTTCATTGTTTGCTTTTTTTTTTTTTGTATTTGCATTCATACAATTCCTTCATCTCTGGATTCTTGTGGGCAAGCACAGCACTAATAATTCATGTGTCACAAGCATTTCAAGTAAGTGTTGAACTCAAAATATTAAGTTCAAAACTGTTCTGTGTGCATGTATGGGTACCTAACTTGATCCTCAAGCAATAGCTGAAATTAAAAATATATATACTAGAAACTGAAGTGTTAAAACTGCTTTAAAGGGTTCAAAGCTAAACTGTATGGACTATTACTTGAACAGTGCATAATCCTGTTAAAGTATTACCCTAAAAAAATGTTAATTAAATCTATGAATAAAAGTAACGCGGCAAAAAGTGCCTTTTATCCCACTGAAATTTATTGCTGTACGAGAAAAAAGAGACACAAGTACTTTGAAATTATGCACAAGCCTAGTTAGACTGTCACATCAGAAGAACTGGTTTGTGATCCGAACCATTCTTGGAGCATTGATCATTGCTGCATCCACAACTCTCCATTGCAATCTATGTCTTACAATACGAAAAATTTAGAACTAAGGATAATTATTACCGTTTACTTTATTAAAGTAAATTAAGTTGTAGCGCAGAACAGAGTAGTCTTTGAGTTATAGGTCTGAATATAGCATCTTTTAAAATATCTTTTTCGTGTGTGTTTGATCATGAGAAAAATTGATTTAAAAAAAAAGTTGGTGCAATCTGACTGGTAATCTGGAAGAACAAAGGCTGCTGGTACAAAGAATCATTCACCATTCAACACTCAAAGCCACATCAGTGGGTAAAAAATGACGGTGCCGTTGTGAAGCAGAGACACTTTTAAGCTTTTACCCAAAATGATTATAAAAATAGAAGTAGTCGAAGAACGCAAGTTAGATTAGAATCACAGTAAGTTGTACGAAACAAAGCACATTTAAAAAAAAACAAACACAAAAAAAACACCAGTGCTAGCACATTTCACAGTGAGTGGGTAGAGAACAGGACAAGGTGCAGTAGCGTGTTTAATGTGATTGTCCACAGTTTGTGTCTATCCCCCACGTCGTGCTCAGTAGCAGGACGTGGGGGATAGACTCAAACGGGGAGGGGCTGCAATACGGTAAAATCCATTTAAAGACACCGAAAACCTCAGGCACTCTGATTTGAGAGTCACAACAATCAATTGGCTTGAACTCAGACTACAAACATTTATTGTGCATTGTCTGTTCTGGTTGTCCTCACAACCTCTGGGCAAAAGATGAACAAATCAAGAAAGCAATTTCATTACACGCTCATGGGAAGCTTATAAAGGCCCTGGAATCACCACTGCATGTACGATTATGCACTTTTTTCTAATTACACACTGCTGACAAAAATCAAATCTGAGACCATCTACTATACAGCTTACAGCAGACAACACCAAACTGTAGTACGTCTCAGGACGAGCTGTTGAAGAATTAGCTGACGTTAAAATCCCCTGGAACGGACTTCGCTTTCCATTTCGTGCATGCGGAATAAAAAGCCAGCCGAGGTGCAAATGCAGGTGTAATGCAATTTTCTTCTGGCTCTGGTCCATTTTTGCTACCCTTGTGCCTTTTTCTGCGGGCGCAGAGGAACCGGCATGTGTTGAGCCGCGCTGAGTGGAGCAGCTGGGAATGTTTATTCAGATCAGGTGGCGCAGTGTAATTTGGTACCATTTTGGCACAAGTCTCCACCTGCTTAAATTGGCCGCTGCACAAAGTTGTTATTTTATTCCACACACATTCAAAAACTAACAAAGCTAAATATTTAATGGGGTAAAGTCAGAGATTTCACTTGGTATATGCTATTTTGTCCGTGCTATTTTTCTGTTTGCTTAATTAGTACCTGCATGGAACAATTTTAAATACTTTTTTTCAAGTTCCCTTCCTTAAAATACCAAAATAGTGTACTAGCCTTCATAAAGGATGTACTCTCCAAGTCCCCCATTAGTCGTTCCCAATGTGATTATCAGCTGGATGTATGTAAACAATGTTGGATATATAACGTTCCCCATCAAACAGCAACTCTTTTTTTTTTTGTTTTGTTAAAATAATATATTCATCCTATTCCTGACTTGGAGAACAGAAACACAAGTACAGATTGTACTTGTCTGGTCAGAAGCTAAAATTAGCTTGGCATGCCTGTGTGGAATTGTCACAGTAGATCCAGATGAAACCGTCTCACAGATATTTGTTTGCCACCTCTGCATCAGTGAGGATGCATTTCTGTTGAAGTGATAATAGCCCTGTGACGAGTCATAAGAAGAAAAAGAAATACTTTTGCAGTCACATCTCCTTTTGTGTCAGCACCAATTTGGTAATTTGGCATTTCTGAATGCTGATTATTGCATTAATAATTCATTACTTCATATGATGTAAACCCTGTCGCTGACATTTTCCTTTATTCGGCGAACAAAACGCCTTCCCAGCTTCTTTGCCTCTGTCACACTACTTTATTTTAATAACTTGTGTTAAGAAAAGCAGCAATCCATTGTGAGTTCCATAAACCTTACTTTAAGCAGTGCCCAGGGGATTTTTAGATGGGTCCCTCTGTGCGCATTTGCTGTTGACTGAATTGTCTGGTTCGTCACAGTGATCTGGGACATTGAGGTGGTGAGCATTTTAAACCTTTTTTTTTTGCCTTTCTGAGTCAATGAACCTTTGCTTTAATGTATTCGTCACTGCTTCCAAAACATTGTGATTGTTTCAGGTCAAGCTTATAACTTTGCAGACCATTAACTTTAAAAATAAAACTTGAAAGTCTGTTTGTTGTTACCAAAAATAAATCTGTCATATTTCATCCTGCCAAAGGACCAGATGATACGGGCTAGCAGAGGTGATCTTGTTTTTCCAGCTTAAATGTGGTTTAAGGTTAGTAAAATATACCACTTGATGAAGGAAATGGCCGGCAGCACAGCAACAGTTGTTCAGGTGATCGTAAGAGCTGTATGTATGGATGTTCAGCAGTTTGCAAAAGTTTTAGCAATATCGAAATACTTATGATTCTGCTGTACTATTTATTTTACGGCTAATGCTGTTTATGGTCACAGTGAGACGGGTCCTTTACTGGCACACGTGGAATGTTTTTCTGTGCTCACATTATATTTTCTGGGGCTTAGACTTCTTCTAGTATAAAAGTAAAATGTAAAAGGCAACAAGAACTCTGTCCAGTTTCCTTCCAGGCTGTGGGCAGAGAAACATCCTGGAAAGATTTCTAATCAGTTGCTGAGGAAAATGGAGCTGCACATAGCCACACTCACACTGGGACATTTCATAGTGTCCAGTTCCTTCTCACTTGACCTGTTGAGACTGCAAGAGCCAATCTGCCTCTAAGTTCAGCTGTGTAACAAACTTTGGTAATGATAAAAATGATAAATAATAATTACGCAGTCTCATCTGTATTAACATTAAATGGCTCAGTCATGCTACAGCAAAGACAGGATAGCAACCTCCTTGTAAAAGATTGGTGGTTGCAAGTTGATTGGATTGATTTTTTTTTTTCTGATTTGGTGCCCAACTGTGAATAGCTGTGGCAACAGCAAGGTGACTGCAGAGGTTGCCTGGTGGAAGGCAAGCAATTCTGACTTAAACAGTCAGTCTCAGACAGATTGCAGACAAAATAACTAACTAACTTCCAAACGCATTGCTATCTATTTGAGTCAGTATTCACTGATAAGGGCACGCCTGTGACAGGCCACTTTCCAACAGGGGGATCAACTCAACTGGTTGTAGTTTGGTTATATTGCTGTTCAACAGCAAGGCTGGTGAGTACCTGTGTCATTTTGTAGTTAAGTTGAAGTCCTGGAACACCTATGTCACTGTTTTTGGAGGAATTGGTTTGGGCTGGATTACTTTATTAACTGGATATTATCACAAACAGATTACATGTAATTGCCATCTTGACCCCATTCAATAGGACATGATAGCAAACTGATAGTACACTGACTCTGTCCTATTGCCATGTTTTCCCAGCCTGACATACCAAAGTTGCTCTGCAGACAGAGACTGTTTGCGGGTTGTTGTAGACCTGGTCTACTTAAAAGTTCATTTCACACGGTCGCAGCAACCAATAGTCATCAACCTAAAAATTAACTGCACTCTTAGTGTCACAGCATTGCTATTATGATGTGAAAGCAAATAAAACAACAGTTGGACGGTAAACAGAGAAAAAGAAAGACAGAAGAGTGTGGCACAATGTATCCACAGCACCGATGCTTGCCTGATAAGCCACATTAAAATTAACCAGCAACCCATGTAGTGCGTAGCGTTTTTACTGCTCTTACCTTAATCCATATAAGACGGTGCCATCAGGGTGCAGTCGGATCATACGGTTTTTTACTGTCACACCATGAAGAAAGGACTTCTTGTCATTAAGGAAGTAGGTGTCAGGGAGCCAAAGCTGGTCTGCTACACGGTTGTCCAGAGTTAGGTTTAGGTTCAGCTCACCATAGGCCAACCGTTTATCTCGCCAGCTCTGCTGGAAATACATTGTGATGGTATAGTCCTGGGAAGAAGTAAAGGAAAAACCAACATAAACCACAGGCAAAAAACAAACAAAGAAACAAAAAAGTACTCAACTGTACTCAAGGGGAAAAGTAGACAGTTGTTTTAGATTAACTGCTGCTCAAAAGTTAAGTGCAGAAGAAACTAGAAGATGCTTAAGTGAATCTCAGATCAGGAAAAAACATCTAATGTTTCTGATTGTGTTAAGGAAAAGCGTGAGAGAGAAGGATTAGGAGGAGAAATGCAGTGAAGTGGAGAAATATCGTCTTGCAGCTAATGTATCCCCTGTAGCCAAAGGGCTGTGCTGTTAATAGTGCTGAGAAAAACACGAGTACAGGCGCTTAATGTAAAACCTACAAAGTGCAAAAAAAAACAAAAAACGGCGGCTTTCGATGCATCTCAGATTATTAGAGTTAAATAACAAGTTTACCCACACTCTGCATTTGAGCATGATGCCTATTAAGAGATCTGGTATCCTTCCTTTCTGATTTATTATTAATGACATAATATTTTTTCAGAAAACGCCTCACCCGTGTACAAATGAATGGCCACGGGGCTCGTAATGAGAACTGAACCAAACTACTGATAAACAACTCAATCACCCCTTTCAGTGACATTTCTCATTAATAATCAGCAATTTTAGATGCAAATTCAAGGAAAAGCACTCTAACGTCATTTTAAAAAACACAACCCAATGAAATTTTCTGCTACTCAAAAACCTGCAAATGCATCGACTGGCTGAAAACACTGACATTTTATGTTTTTGTTTCATTAAGACCGTGAATTTTTAATAATCAGTCTGAGTGACTGATTGTTAGATGTCTTGATGCATTCTCAATCATCCAGGAAAGTAAATCTCCAAAAGTTGATGCTGTGATTGCAGCCATTCCCCAACTCTCTGTGAATGGTACTCATGGCCATTGATCAGTGGGTTTTGGTTAGTGGTTGTTGATCAATGGTCATGAGAATTTGCGTAATTAACCTGACCTCTGACCTCCCAGCCCGTTGTTCCTTCAGTGGGCTGGTTTCAATCATTATGCAAATGTACTGTTTATAAGATTGGGGAAACCTGCAGTCAGCTGAGTCTGAAGAAGTCACTTGGATGAGTGATGAAATATTTCTCCTACAAAACGCTACGTCCAGATGAACAGAATCAACTTTAGGGGATTGTTAGATGTATGTCAAATCACAAATAAACTTAGAATTTTTGGAAAATTATTCCATCACTCCAGAAGCCAAAAAAAGCCATACAGCAGAAAATAATAACAATAATCATAATTTTTAAAAAGCTGCCACACTATGTGGGCGGCTATATCATGCTGAGTGAAAGAAAAAGAACGCTAAGAGACAGGATGATGTCATTTTTCAGACATCAGCCATATTGCCTTATCCAGTACTCCAGCCTGCCTCTCTGACAGTCTTTGTCAGAGCAAACGAACATGTTGTATATTACCTGCAAACTAGTGTGAGGAGTAATGATGAAAAAAAGGAAAGAAAAAAGAACCTGCAGTCAAATCTCAGTGTCTCATTCAGTAACAAGCAGAAGCGGTTGTCCACCATCACACGTGGACTGTGTGGCCGTTCAGTCCAACTGAACTGTACAAAACACAGTTAGTAGTGTTTGTAGCTGGAAAGCCTTTGAGCAATCCTGCCTTTGCTGATTCTGTAAGCAAGTATTTGCCTTGGTATTTGCAAGTGCTGTGTGATAGTTATTTACTTGGTAGTGATCCCATGCAAAGTAAATGCAGGGATAATATTGCCAATACTGATTAGAATGATCATTAATTTGCAATTTGACCACTAAATCACTGTGATCGGATACCACAGTAATTAGTGAGCACACCAAAACACACCTTTAAGCTTTTCATGTATTTTCAAGTCTTCAAAAAACACTAACTTTGAAGACCTGGAATTTAAATGTGCTTGTCTCTAAAGCACTTTGGATCATCTTTTATTATTTAAATGTGCTGCAGGCTATAAATAAAAATAGATGTGACAGTCAACACAGAAATATTCAGATATTTTTCATAGCGAGTGTTTGAGATATATTTTTGGGGAATTTTGGTATCTGATATTTAATATTTGCATGGTTTAGCATGAATCTAGTCTCTTCTTGCAAGGTTGGGAGTTCCTAGTGTGAAGCCCTCCTTAAAACAATGAGATCTGAACTTACCATGTTTACTTCTGAGATGGAGTCTATACTTGCTATGTTGATGCTCATTCCTACGACGACTGGAGGACCTGAGGAGAAAGGAAAACTTGGTGTCACCAAAGCGCTTTTATTTTTTCTTTTCTTCTTAAACACACATATTTTGAAGCGATGCTCTAACATTAAACTGCTTGATAAATTCAGCAGCATCCACCCAGCCACATCAGATTTTGTGTACTGACTGATGCAAAAATCGACACTGTGTTATGTTTTTGCATATGAAAACAGCCTTTTTTTTTTTTTTTACCGAAAATGCACTGTACCCTTGTTCAACAGCTCAAATACCCCCATCCCCAAAAAGACAAAAAAAAATCACACTGAGCACAAATATAAAGGTTAGTGCTTAATATGTGCAGTTGCCAGTGGGTGGATGCAAAGCCCAGCGTAAAGATGAGCCCCTTTCAGAAGCCTCTGAAACCACACGGAGAAAATGCTCTCGTACATACACGTTTCTATACTAGCAGTTTATGTAAAAGAACGAAAAGAGTGAACCACGCCTCATTTACATGATTATAGTGCATGTGACAGATATGCATGCTGACTCTCTTACAAATGCAATAACCACATACCCATTTCAGTGGTCACACAACTTTAGGTTTACGAGGTGTATGCATTCACAGTGCACATAAAACCACAGTCGCTGTAACCAACAGCCAGTGACACCATGTGACTGTGCTGTATACAGTCATGAATACGCATGAGACATTGCCTCAAATACAGGAAGGCACACTGTAACACTAAAAAATGTAGATACATTTTTTGCAATGCAATAAGCGCTTGCTTGTTCTTTTCTTAATGCCTTGCATTGGCCTTAACTGGGGGAACAGATCTGTTACCATTAGTTCTCAGTGTTTTATTGGTGCAAAATACAGCCTTCCCATTCCCTGTTCTTCAAACTAAGTCACCTTTATTTTGGTTGATGGAGCCACAAAATATAATTTGCTGACACGGAAAACAGAAACAGCAATAGCAGATCAGTGATTGGTTCATGTGGCAAAGCTGAATCAGGGAATTCAGATGATGTGCCACAGTTTTATAGTGGAAGTGGCATTTGCATAGGAATCATAACTACGAGAAGAAAAAAAGCAACTCTGCTGCAGTGTGTACAATCTAATATATCATCATACATACCCGAAAGACATCAGACTTATAGCTTTTTACTAAAATGAATCAATGCGATAGCTACGTTATTAGTGCACTGCTGCTGTGTGAACTGCATGTGATATACTACTGTATATCATATGCATGGATATACTGCATCTACAGTATATCATTTTTCAGGGACTGGTGGCACACATTAATTAGAAAATAGAAAGGAATAAGGACGGCATGATAACTTTTTTTTATCACAAGCAATGACTGGTTTGTTATGCTGATTGTTTCTTCGAATTTTCTCTTTTTTAAATAAAAGTTTACTAGGCCATCATTTCCTGCACAGTTTTAACTGCACAGTGAGATTCCTCAGCATTAGCTGCTGGTAATAGGTACTGAAAGTGAAAAATATTTTTGGAGTTTCATTGGAACAGAAGTATCAAGTAGAAAGCACCACCAATAATTACTTTTTTGTAATAACACAATATAATTAACACATTTTATGAATATGTATATTGTTATAGCCTATTGTGATTCACAGAGTCAGAGAGTGACATATAGCTGATGGTTATACTGCACAAGTTCACATAGACAGATTCTTTGCCCAAAACAGATCTAAGACTTCACCTCTGGATCCTCTAAAAATATAACACTCTGAAATAAAAAATATATATAAAAAAATATATTAATAAGAAAAAAAAAAGTTGACAGCTGCTTTAGATGACGAGAGCTGTGGTGATGTTAAAGGTTGGAAACTTGCACAGTTCAGAGGCCATAAGGATTTTAAGTGTATAAAAATCACTAACATAACCCAGATCTGCCCAAATAATCTCACCATACAGAGTCTAGATGCATAAAGAGTCCCCATGACTATGCTTCTGATTATGGCTAAAAATAGAGTTCAATCTAGCCTGTCAGTCTGCTCTCAATAACTATAGTGTGTGTTTCTGTGATACAAACATCGATCCATAAACTTTATGTCTTGCCTCTGTAGCTTAGAGCATGGAACGAACTGTGCAGTCTAATTCATGACCAACTCTGACCAACATAATGACTAGGAACATTTTGTTTCAGCAGAAAGGTGAATGAAATAAACATTTCTGCTAGAATTAGCTTTGATGACTAATCGACTTATTTAAACTGTTTGTGTTTTGACAAACTTCATCAATTATACTAAATAACACTGCAATTGGCACTGACAGATTGTCTGTGTTTCTCTTTTCATACTGGTGCAACATCCACTTCCTTTATTAAATATTTAATTGTGTACCACATTAGAACATTTAATTGTACTCCAGCACTCTGGAACAACTTTTTAAAAAAAATACAGCGGGATCCGAGATCTCCAAGCAATTCAGAACAGAGTGCTCACTGACGTGACCAGGAAGCCAAGACGGTTGTTGAATGTGGCTAAAACAAATGATTTAACGAGTGATAGTTTGCATGCTTGGGAAGGTTCAGACAGCCTCTTGCAGGGCACTCTGCAAGGAACTGACCCAGCTCCAAATGTTGAGTCTTTGTCTATATCAAGATCATACCCAATAAATCATTTTGCACCTCATTCCTCCTTAACGACACTTATGTTACACATTTCAGTGCATCATTCTGCTTAAACTATCATCTGCAACCTATAGGTGTAACTGTACTGACACACATGTGTGGGTAAAACATTGTTAAATTTAAAAACAAAACCTGTGGCAGCTTTGTCATGTATGAAATATTAGCACATATGTTAAGTGGTCACAATATTTGGATTGGCAAATTAGTTAATGGGATTAGAACTGTGTTACCATTTGCGTACTACACATCAGGCATAACATTATGACCACCTGCCTCATATTGTGTTGGTCTCTCTTTTGCTGCTAAAACAGCCCAGACCCATGGACCCTGTACTGGACCCCTGTAGGTGTAAAGTAGTTTCTGATACCAAGATGTTAGCAACAGACCCTTCAAGTCCTGTAAGTTGAGAGGTGGAGCCTTCGGACTTGTTTGTACAACACATCCTAAAGATACTCAATTGGATTGAGATCTGGGGGATTTGGAGGTGAAGTCAACACCTTAGACTCATTGTTTTGCTTCTCAAACCATTCCTGAACACTTTTTGCTTCGTGGCAGGGCGCATTATCCTGCTGACAGTGACCATGGCCATCAGGGAGTACCATTTCCATCAAAGGGTGCACATGGTCTGCAGCAATGCTTAGGTAAGTGGTACGTGTCAAAGTAACATCCACATAGATGGCAGGACAGCAAGGTTTCCCAGGAGAGTATTATCACTTTTGATAGATACTGACCACTACAGACCAGAAACATCCCACAAGAGTTGCAGTTCTGGAGAAGCTCTGACCCAGTCGTCTACCTATCAAAACCTTACTCTAGCCTATTTTTCCTGCTTCTAACACATGAACTTTGAGGACAAAATGTTCACTTGCTCCCTAATATATCCCACCCACTAACAGGTGTCACGATGAAGAGATAATCAGTGTTATTCACTTCACCTGTCAGTGCTCATAATACTATGCCTGATCGGTGCAATCTTGAGGGTCATGAAATAACCCCCGAAGCCTCACTGCAACAATCTATGGCTTTAGAGAATTAAAAGGCATATCAGATGTCCGCTGTAAAACACAACAGAATCAGACGATCAAAAAACAGCAACAATACAAACATTCTATGATATTTTATGATAAAATGTGATAACATGAATGAATCTGCTACTATTCTGGGGATCTGACTGAAAGACCCGCACACGTTCTCTCCTATACTCTGCAAATTCTTCTTCTTTGACTCGTCCCACTACTCTAAATACCCTAAAGCTCTGTCATCTTTCCTGACCCATCTTTTCCTTAAAAAAATGGATGATGGAAGGGGGTATAGGGCCATTTTCCATCACACTTTGTGAAAGCAACCAGCAACTGTTTTCCCCAGAGATGCCAAAGTACATTCGTTCGCTAGATGAAAACAGAAAGCACCAAATCTCACCTCTCTCTCTCCCACCCTCCCTCCCTGTCTCCCTCTGCATATGTTGACCCTGCTTTAGAGGAGCAGAGTCACTCACTTCACCACCACAGCTTTCTTGAAATAAAACTGTTGCCTGCACTTGCACTTCACAAGTTGGAACGAAAACAAACACCATTAGACGTTGATTTTCATAAAAAAAAACAAAAACAAAAAAACCCCCAACAGTAGCCACCACATACTTTCTTGTTCTCCGCTGAAAATGTTTCCAACCATCTCTTAGTCTGTCTTTTTAATAATTTATCAAAGGTTGGGATCTGTGGAAGAAGAAGGGTGCGAATAAGAGGAAGAGATCATAATGTCCCAAGGCAAGCCATATTGTGTGCGAAGAATTAGCGAACTAGCGTGTAACACTAAGTTTTTCAAGAAGCCTCTGAATGTGTCAGCCTGCTCTGGCTCGCTGACGGGTTGCTGGCCAGCATCGCAGTAGGAACAGCTTGTAGCACATGTCTGATGATGGTCTGGGCATAGATGTGGTGCATTAAAATGGAAAAGAGGCAAAAACAATATGAGTTGATCTTTAGTCGCCTACTGGTTTCTCCTCATGTGGTTCCTCGTGAAACTGGGCACAGGGACATCACTCAGGGAACAGAACAGATTTACTGAAATTTTACTAAATTAAAGTCACCCTGTGGGGTTTTTTGATGTCCACTCGCATGGCAGTGTAATGACCACATGCTCTAACAGCATGAAGATTTTCCTGTGCGTGTGTGCTACATGGGTCGACTGTAAAGGCGAGCATTGTTGGTGGTAAAGAATCAATTAATCACATTAATCATTTTAAATGTAAGTGTTTAAAATGGGTTCTCTGTAGCAGGGCATCATGATTATAAACATAATACTATGTTTTTCTTATTTTATTTGCTCTTCATTTGATTTGGGTGAATTTGTACTCTAACATCACAACACAATTTAGTGTGTTTTT